GAAGAAGCAGAAGCAGAAGAAGGAAATAATATAGACAACATTAAATCATCAAAATCTCACAATACAACAACAGTTGACAATAAATCATTTCTGAAAAATGTTAATAAACAGTTGTTGTCTAATTCAAGTATAACCAAATCTGTCATAGAGCAATACGAGGATGCTTTGGAAGAAGATCCAACGGTGTACTCGTATGATGAAGTATATGATGTCATGAAGAAAGCTGAGAAAAAAAGGACAGATCAAATAAAAGGGAAGGAACTGAGTGAAAATGGTGAAAAAAAAGTAATTAAATCAACATATAAAAAACCTCACTTATAAATTCATTTTATTGTTATTAATTATTTGGTTTGAAAAAAAAAACAGGCTAAATATGTTAATAATATGTTAAGAGCTGCAATGATAAGAAAACGTGATTACATGACTGTACAAGAACATAAATTACAAAAGGAACGAGAAGCTGAAGGAGATGAATTTGATGATAAAGAAGTTTTTGTGACTACATCGTATTGTATCTCCTTTTTATATGTGAATTTATTTATGTGCTTTTCATATATTAAATTGGTTTCATTCATTGATTAATTAATCTAGATATAAACAGATGCAAGAAGAATTGAAAAAAGCAGAAGAGGAAGAAAAAAGAACGGGTATAGATATAAAATATCATTAATTATAATAATAATTTATATATTAATATTTTTTAATATATTCTTCTAGAAAAAGAATACCAGGAAGGTAAAGATATAACAGATTTTTATCGTAGATTTTTAGATCAAACATCCAGAGCAAAAGCTGTTGCAATAGAATCGATCAAATCAGAAATTCAGAAAAAGTATAAAAGAAAATTTGATAATAGTAGTGGTGGTGATAACAAATATGAAGATGATGAAGATGACGAAGACAAAAGTGAGAATCAATCAAATTTAGATGATAAACTTAAAACAGATAAACAACTTGCAGAAGAAGCTGAAGCATCAGGGAAAAGCGTTATATTAAATGAAGATGACCAAATAATAGATAAAAGGGAACTTTTATCAGCTGGATTAAATATAACGAAAAAGAAGGATAAAGACAATAGAAAAACTATTAATGGTAGTAGGAAAAGAAAGGTAGATAATAAGGAATTTGATGAAGATGATCATAATATTTTGTCAAAAAGATCTTCTGAAGAAGAGGCAAGAAGACGTAGTGAGAAACAAAGCCATGAATTGGAAATGCAATTAAAAGAAATAGAAGCGAAGAAAAAGGAAGAAGAAGCTCGTAAACAAGAAGAATTGATTAAGAAATTTTCTAAAAAGAACGATGAAGCTACTATCTCAGATGCAAGAGCTAGATATTTGGCAAGAAAAAATCAAAAGTCATGAAAGAAAAAAATTTTAAATTTTGAAGATTATTTATTATTATCACAACTTAATTTACATAAATAATATTCTAATAAATGATAAATTATATATATATATATATTACATTACATTGCCATTACTACCACCAACACCACCAGCTATATTAACACTTCTAATGCTACGAAAACCTACATCACCAATACGTCCTGATAATTTTCTATATCCATCAAATTCTAATTTTCTTTTTCTCCATACAAATAGACTGCAAGATAAAAATGCTACAAAAATATTTATAAACTAATAAAATTAAATTAGATTATTTTCTATAAAAGAAGAAAGAAGATTATTATTTATTTATGGATCAACTTTTACCTGAAACTCAAAATATTTTGTTCTTTCAACTTTTTTTACTCTTTTACATGCTCTATAATTTGGAATTTTAGTTGAATTATTATCTTCTGTTGGTTGACCATTTGGAGTTTCCCAATGACATTTAACAAGTTCTTTATTTCCATATTGTAAACAATAATTTTCTTGAGATATCTAATGACAAATAATAATATTAATTATTATTATCATTGTTGTATCATATTAATATTAATTACTATTATAATAATCAATCAATCATTGTAGAAAATTCCTCTTAATTTACCGCCTCAAGCGCAGTGCATGGTTCACAATCACCAATCACAATGCAAGTATAGGTTTTATCGTCATTATATCTCAAAGGATCAATATTGTTATTATTGATGGGTGGTTCTGAGGAAGGTAAATTTAAGTTTGGAGTTGTAGTGTAAACAAGTAACGTAGTTGATGTTGAAAGGATTTCTACTTCTGGTTTTGCCTCTATAACTATTATTATTTTTGTTATGGTTACTAATAAAACAATCAATAACCTTTAAAAAAAATTTGGACAAAAAAAAAAATTTCCTTTTTTTTCTATGAAAAAATTATTTACGATATATTTAACGACAAAGTGAAGAAGTTCGCGTGATTGATATCAAAACATCTATAACAGGGATATCACATGACTTGAAAATAAAATTAATCGCGTTTTGAAAATTAACCCCCCAAAAATAATAAGATCAATCAATAATTATGGAATGATAAAAGCTGGGCTTAAATTTAACATTAGTAAGAATGTCGGAGAGCCAGAAAAAACGTTGAAAGCATCTTAAGCGATGCAGAATTTAAATAAAAGTTGGATAAAACAGTCGAATTATGACATTAATACGTACAAGATATAAAAATAGAAAAATTATATGTATTACAAGATCAAATAGATATGAAAGGGTATGAAAAACATTTGAATACCTTATAAAAGAAGAAAGTAAACCACCAAGACATATAGTAAATTATGTATATAGGCAAGCGAAGCATTTGAATATGTATAAATGATGCAAGAAGAGCATTAGAAGAGTAGTTGGTGATGATGAATTAGAAGAAAAAGAAGTTGGTGATGAATTAGAAGTTGATAAATAGGTTAGAAGAATAAAGTCAAGATCATAATTATTTGAAGTATGGGACAAAATGATTATAAACACCTATAATCCCATTACAAATGATTGCATTAAATTTCTCTCGAATATTCTAGCAATTGTTTGTCGCTCGTTTTTTTGAAAAATAATCAAATTGATTTTAAATTTATCAATTGATGCAATTTGATTGGGATTATAAATATTAATGACCTAGGAGAAAAATCCAAATTTTGGTTTGATGTTTTCCCAATTCCTTTATTTTTTTGGTTCTGTCCAACCCGCAAGAAAGTCTCTATGAATTAGAATATAGGTTGATTTGCATTTCTTTCAGAGGTTGGCAACCCACGAATAAGCTTTAGCATAGTTTCTAGAAAAATAATACATTTACCATTTTTGTTTTTCATTAAAGAGACCGATGATGTTCCAAAATATATCAAACTTAATAACTTATTTCCAGCGTATTGTTAAGATAAGTTTTTGACAAAGAGGCGTGATCTCAGCAGTAGAAGGTTCTTTTATTGGCTCGAGTTTCTTTTTCTCATATTTTTTGTTTCACCATCCATTGTTTTTAAGTTAGTTGGGCCATCAAGGAGACAGCTTGTTCTGATTTAGAAAAGCCCACACACTTCAACAACAAATTCCTTTGGACGAGCAACCACAATTAAAGCCTCCATA